AGCTAGTTGGCTAGTTGCTTAGGCTTTTATATATATAGACTAGAGGCCCAGTTCATGAAATTCATGCACTTGGGGAAGGGTCTCAGCCTGGATTGCGAGAGGGTGCAAGCCAAGCCAAGGGACCCTACTGGTGCACAATCGGGGCTGGGGAGGGACCACGGGAGGGCTCCAGGGCGAGTCCGGCCCGTCTCGCCCAGCCCTGATTGGCTGAATCCCAGCAGCAAGCTAATCTACAGTTGGAGTGTCTGCCTGCTGGTGGTCAGTGCGCGTCATAGCAACTGGTCGAACGGTTGAACAGTCGGACACTTAGCATATTAGGCTTTTATTATAGTGTATAGGACTAGAGGCCCAGTGCACAAATTCGTGCACAGATGGGGTCCAGCCAGCCTACCCTGATCAGGGCCAATCAGGCTGGCTGGCTGAGGGGAGGGACCGTGGGCGGTTGGCCAGCCGGCCCTGCCCCCTGGTTGAATTCCCGGTCGAGGGGACAATTTGCATATTAGCTTTTTATTACATAAGATTAACTATGAAAAGGTCTTGCCCAATTAAGCTAAAAATCAGTTCCTAAGAAGTTTCCTCTCATTTGCCTGTTCTGCCCTTTGGACCTAGAGAGCACCCCAGGCTTCTCTACTCTAGACTAAGCCTCCATTCACTGCACGTATACCCGCCACCCCTGGGCATCGGTTACCTTCCTAATGCTGTTGATTTGTCAGCATGGCCAACAGTTTGTACATCTGAACACTAACAAAGCACGCACACGCACACGCACGATTACAGTTCCTGCATATTTATTCCTTCTGACCTGCTTGCACAATTTTAAAGAAAGTTCACCACAGGGGGGAGTAAATTACTGGAGAAGGCTTTGGGGAGAAGCAGAAGACACAGAGTTGACTATGTAATGGCAATAAGAACAGGTCTTAGAACATTCTTGGATTTAATCTCAGCTCTACCACTTACCACCTGGCAAGTTGCCTCAGTTTCCTCATCTGTAAAATGGGGATAATAATAATATCTATCTCAAAGGGTTGAAGAGATATGATTCACTACACGTAAAATATTTAAAATATATTAAGATCTCAGTAACTGTCCGTTGTTGTTATTACAATTCACTTCTTTAAAAAATTTTTTATTGTTTAAAGTATTACAAATATCCCTCTTTTCCCCCCACTGACCCCTCCTCCCCGCTCTCGTCCCCACCCCAGGCTTTCACAGCATTAATGTCTATGTTCATGGGTTATGCATATATGCATATAAGATCTTTGGTTAATCTCTTCATGCCCTCCCCCTTCCCTCTGAGATTCGTTAGTCCATTGCATGCTTCCATGTCTCTGGATCTATTTTGTACAATTCACATTCCTAAAGGCCTTATTTTACATTGTTCCAGCCGACAAACCCAGTACGAGGGAGTATCAATTAAGACC